GGGTATTTTTACCATTTTAATTTTTAAATTTGTCAGACCTGAAACAAAAGGGTATCTTGGTACAGACCTCAATCAACTTCGACAACTTCCACTGGAGAGGGGTGGATTTAAAGGGGACCTCTCAACTTGATTTCTTACCTCTCCTAGTCTCACTTTTGGGCCTATAAAAAGCTCCTCCCGTCATTTTTCCTATTGTTTTATATATGGAAAAAAAAAGCCTTTTCCAAAAGGGACTGACCACCTAAAAAATTTAAGGGGATGGGCTGATTACATCGTCTTCAAGTATTTCTCTTATAACTTTTCTGACTTTACTGAGAAGCCTACGTTAGGCGAAAAGTTTCATGTAAAAATACCAACGTTGCATATGTGTCTTTCCCAAAAAATGTGCAACTCTTTGGGGATCTTTATTTTAGGAAACGTTTGCCACACAGTGGCGAAACGTTTCCTCAAAAAGTTTCCCAAGAGTTGCCATGTTTTAATTTTTTATCATTTTGCTAAAGTTTTAGAAATTTTGTGGTTTCCAGTGTTACGTTCTGTTGTGGCGGTGCGGCGATTTGCGGGTTTTTAGAACCCTCGGCCCTCTAAGGTTTTGTTTGGCGAGAACGAGTTGTGCCCCATCCCAGTCCATCAAAATTGGCCTGTGAAATTTTTGGGGAGGAAACAACATACCTTAAATGTCTCTGTTAGGGAATTCGTTGCTCGTTCGGGCAAACCCCCGAGGTCTCTCCCAAAGCGAAACGGGCAGTGATCTTGCGGTTCGCCTGAAACGAGCATCAAAGTGCCGGGTAAGAGAGACGATTTAAGGTATCCCTGTGATTTCCGGGCGGGTTTTACAAAAACGGGGGGAAAATTTTTTCCCCCAAAAAAGTGGTTAAAAAATTTAATTGTGCGATAACCGGATAGGACGAAAACCCGGGGTTTTTGGCACTGTATAATTTATGTCGTGCCGAATGGGAAGAACTTGCGATTTTGGGCCCTTAAAATTTGCAACGCTAAACTTCCCAAATATAGGACAAGCGGGGAATTTTTTGTATGCAAAAATTTAAACCAAAATCATTCTAAACCCAAACAAAAAAAATATATTTCACTATGTTTGTTTAGTATTAAATTATCGTAAAAAAATCTAAAATTATTTATTTGATTTAGGCAAAAAATAAATTTTTTCTTTTTATAAAAAGGGTTTAAATGGTAATTTTTTTTTTTAAAGATTCTTTGGTGAAAAATTAAAATTTCAAAAAGAATTTAAATTTTTTAAATTTGGTTTTGCTAATTGCCCTTTTTTTACATATTCGGCACGATATATATATATATATATATATATATATATATTAAAAAAAATTATATATATATTTTAATATATATATATAAATATATTATAAAAATTTTATATTATAAAATAATATTATATAAATTTTTCTTTCAACACCCCGGCCGTTTTCCCCCCAAAGGCGGGGGTTGGCCCAAAAGAAAAAAAAAAGTTTCCCCTTTTTCAAATTTAGAAAATTATATACAGGAGAAGGGGTTATACCCCTTTTGGCTCCCGGAAATTTTTGGGTCGCCTCTTACAACACCATGACCTACGGAGGAAGAATTCTTTTTCCAAATTCCCCCAAAGGAAATAAGGGGAAAAATAAACAAGAACAAAGAACTAGAAAAAAAATAAAAAAAAACCCGAGGGGGAGGGATATATTTCGCTTGTACATGTATTGTAATGTGACCCGAGTGTAAATAGAAGTAGCAAAGGGGCGTACCTGAAATTTTGCCCTGTTCATGAGGGCAGAAAAAAAAAGGGCACCAGTAAACCTACCATCATGTAAAAAATTACAAGGGTTTTTGTTTTTTCACTACTTGACAGGGGGGAAATAAACCTCCCTGGGGGGGGTTGCTGGCTACCAAAAACCCACTTCCTGAACAATTAAAAAAGGTATAAAATACCGACAGATTTTTAGGGGAAAACACAAAATGCAACAGTTTGGAAACTTTATTTCGAAACGTTTCGCCCACAAGTAAAAGGGTTTTTTCAGTCGAGTAAGAAAAGGGTTTTTAGAAGCAAAAATATTTTTAAGACGATGTAATCCCGTCCATCACCCTTAAAAATTTTGAGGTGGTCAGTCCCTCAGGGCTGGGAAGAGCATTGGGTTTTGTTTCTGAAACAAATATGAAATTGAAGTGACCCGAATTGGGGGCCCTTTTATAAATGCCCCGGGGGGTGGAAATTAGGTTTTCTTTGGGAGGGGGGAAAAATTTTCCCCCCCCAAACCCAGCCGTTCTCCCCTATTTGAGGTTTTTCGAAGTTGATGGTCTGTACCCCAAAAATACCCCTTTTGTTGCTTTGGGCTGACAAAACCCCAACTGTTGCCTTTTGTGTCTTAACCCTTAAAAAATCTTTGGTTTTTTTAAAACCATTTTTAAAGTTTCATTCTGTCAACACTGCAAAAAAGGGTATCTTGGGAAAAACCCTCAACTTCGAAACCTCTACTAGTTTAAAAAGGGTGGGGTTTTAGAGGGACCTGCCCTCCCAAAGCAACCTTAAAGTCTCACCTCCCGGCAAATATAAAAAGACCCATTCTGGCACTTTCAACTTCCCTATTGTTTCAAAACAACGGAAACAATGCTCTTCCCCCAGACTGAGGGCTGACCACCCCCAAAAATTTAAGGGTTTTGGGCTATTACATGTCTTCAAAATATCTTTGCTTCTATCAATTTTTTGTACTCGGGCTGAAGAAGCCCACTGGTAGGCGAACTTTTTGAAATTAAAATACCTAACTGTTCATTGTGTCTTACCTAACAACCTATCCCCTATAAAAATTTTTATATTATATATATTTATTTTTATATATATAATATAATATAATATATATATATATATAATAATATATATTTAAAATTATATATTTTTTAAACTTTATACAAAATATATAGGGAAGTACCACCTCTAAAACTGGAAGGGGACCCCATCCCAAGAAGCAATAAACGTCCTCGGGAAAAAACCGGTTCCCCCGGGAGCTTTTTTGAATATTTTTTCTCCTCCCCCCCCTACTATTTTATATTCTATGTGAACATTTTTTAATAAACAGAATCATTTACAGAAAAAAATAAACAGAATACAAGGGCACAATGTATTAAAGCCCATGAATTTCCACCAGCTCCTCCGAGGCTGGCGCAGCCAAGTATGCAGCAAGCATATGTGTATCACCTATTTGTACTCGCCATTTGTGGTTGCGGGGGTCGATTATAGCCCGGGCCCCCGCCTCTTCGTGTTTGCACTGGGCCCTCTCTCCCCCCTCCCCCATGAGTTTTATCATACCTCGCCTTAAAACTATGTTTTCCCCCCCCGGGCCTCCACTACGTCACTTCTGGGCTATTCCAGGGCCCCTGACAACCATGATGAAGAAATATTTCCTAAAACCCCTTTTGATTCTTTGAGCCTTCAATTTCCCAATTGTGACCCCTTTGTTTCGTGTCCCTTTCTGGAACATCCGTCTTTGTCCTCCTTCCCTTATTCCGCCCCAGTATTTTATATGTCGTTATCATTTTCCCCCTGACCCTCCTTCCTCCAGTGTCGTAGGCCGATTTCCCTAAACCTTTCTTCGTGAACAACCCCCGTGTCTGGGATAGTCTTGTTGCAAACCTTTCCCTTTTCTCTAATTTCTTGACGGCTTGACTGGGTGGGGATTCCAAACTGGTGCTGATACTCCATTGGGCTGACGTAAAGGGTATACAAGTATTGAACGAATCCTTACTGAGGTATCGGAAAAACGCTATCTGTGGGTTTGCCGGGCCCCGTATGCTGCAGCGTTATCTGTTTGTGTGCGCCTTATGAGTTGCTCGGTGTTTCCACCCCCCAAACTTTTTCCTTGAGTGAGGTTTGCAGTCTTTGGCCATTAAACAACTGTGTCTGCGGTCTTTTTTGCCCTTCCCCCAACTTCATGACTTTTCATTTGGGAGGGGTTTAAATCGGAGCCAGTTTCTGGGCCAGGCTTGTAGCCGTCCAGGGCCCCTTTTTTAGTCCTTTGATCCTATCCGATTTGTTCCCTTAGTCGTTCACAATACCCAAAACAGCACAGGTCCTAGGACTGACCCTGTGGAACCCCACTTTCCAGGCGCCCCCCTCTGACACCTCGTAAGTACCCTGACTCGTTGTTGCCCCCTGTGTGTGTTTTGGGGGTGTGTGTGTGTGTGTTTTGGGTGTGACGTTTCCTAGTAATTTTCGTTATTTTTTTAAAGTCCCCCCAAAAATTTTCCCGAGTTGTCAGGTTCGTTCTTCTACACGTTCTTCTGACAAGTATTTGACCTCGCTTTTTTTCGTCATTTCTGTTTGATTCAATTTTTTTCCCAAAACTGATAAGTTTTGTTATTGTATTTTCCCTTGTATTTTAAAATCTTTAAAAGCTAATAAAAAAAAACTCGATTGGGACTTGCTTAAAAGCTTAGTAATGGGGTTGTACTTCATAATTTTATACCAGATCGAGCCCCCCAAGGGCCCCCACTGAGGGTATCTAAAAAACATTGCTTTTTTTATCAAAATTTTCCCCTTTCAAATCGATATCTCTAATATATGTCTTTGACATTTCTTGCTTCAAGTCCTGCCTTGAAGCATACATTGTCGTATGCAGAATATTATTGCTTTTGAGACAAGCATACGGAGAACACTCCATTGGATTCTTAACCCAAGTTAACCAAAGCTAAATATCGTGGTTTCCTTCCTATCAAGTACCTCATTACTGCTAGGTGAATACACATAATATGTGTAAAAATTATTATTACAATCAAAAATGCATGTGTAAGGAAGCCGATGACTTCACTGGGTTACACTGGGCAGCTAACACGCCAAGTTAACAATCCCAACATATCCTTATCTATATCTTGTATTACCCATACGTCTAACTACATCTAGGGATCGAACCCAGGTTTTCTTGGTTGTGTCACTCAGCTACATGTTACCTCACCTCTTCCTTTCCTATATAGCATCATCATAATGATAATAATAATGTTGACAGAGGTGAGCGTGATCTGGTCGTGGCATCAGGTACATCACTCTCATGAAGAATACAACCTGACTGTGGGCCTCCGTCAGTCTATGTTCCAGCAGCTGTGTGCCCTGGGTTTCTACCAGCCCATGGCCCTGCTGGGTGTGCCCCTCCCGGCCATCTGCGTCCACTTCAACCTCAACCTCCTGGTGCAATTCATCATCCACACAGAACTCATCGGCAAGTGTGGACCTCTAGAGTGGATCATCAACACCCCGTCCCACCACCGCGTCCATCACGGTATGTGGAAGATAGATAGATAGAGAAAGAGAAAGAGAGAGAGAGAGAAAAACAGACATTCAGAAGGAGGGAGGAGAGGGAGAGAGAGAAAGACAGACAGACAGGTAGACAGAGAGGGAGGGATAAGAAGAGAGAGAGAGAGAGAGGGAAACTGTTGAAAACCTTGGCCTCTTACACTTACTGTGTTTTGTTTTTTGTATTATTCATGGCACTACTATTCATGGCAATACTGTGGTATTTTGAACTGTCTGCCGAGATTCTGGCTTTCGAAACGAGTGATTTCTATGAGCAGATTCGAAGTCTATCCCTCTAGAATTTTCCAGGTGTAAATTATGATATATCTTTTTTGCCAGCGATCCGAAAAGTACAGGCGGACAAATTCAAACGTTCCAGTAATTTCAGTGCTGGACTGAATTTATATGTATAGTGAAGATCCTCTGTACGTTCTCCAGATCTGCAATTTCGCCTGAAAGATGTTAATGAAAAGCAACATTCCAGCCTAGAGAGAACAGAAGACTTTCATTAGTTTAGCATCTGAATCTAAGGGCCCTGAATCTGCACTCTCTCGAAAGGCGTAGAATTAGGGAGGATATGATCGAGGTGTATAATGGAAAACAGGAATAAATAAAGGGGATGTAAATAGGCGTGCTGAAAATTTCCAGCCAAGACAGGACTCGCAGCAATGGTTTCAAGTGGAAAAATTCAGATTCAGAAAGGATATAGGAAAGCACTGGTTTGGTAATAGAGTTGTGGATGAGTGAAACAAACTCCCGAGTACAGTTATTCAGGCTAAAAACGTTGTGTAGTTTTAAAAATAGGTTAGATAAATACATGAGTGGGAGTGGGTGGGTGTGAGTTGGCCCTGACTAACTTGTGCTGCTGGGTCTGGTGCAGTGCTCCATCTTGAGTGGAGATGATCAGACTGGGTGGGTCATTGGGCTAATCCGGGGGGGGGATGGGTCATTGGTCTAATCCGGGGGGGGACATGGACCTGCTCCGCATGGGTCAGTAGGCCTGTTGCAGTGTTCCTTCTTTCTTATGTTCTTATGTTCTTATCTCATGTTTTCAATGTTCTCGTTGTGGTCCTTGAAAGTGAGATTCTCTGACATTATCACTCCAATGTCCTTCACCTTAATGAAGGACATTGGAGTTAATTTTCACTCTGTTCCATTTTTTCTCAAATTTTTCATAAAGGAGCAGCTGAAATTTGTCTTCATTGAATATCATTGATTTCTACTGCCCATTGGAAGACTTGGGATGTATATCCGCTTGGAGATTTGCAGTGTCCTCAATGGATGACACTCTCATGTGGATTCTAGTATCGTGTGCAAAGGAAGACAGTACTATGATTTATGTTTCTGTCTATGTTGGATATAAGGATGAGGAAAAGGGTGAAGGTGATACTGTGCCTTTGGGGAACAGAGCTTTTCACTGTGTTATCCTCTGACTTAACTCGGGCATACTATTACTCTCTGCGTTCTATTTGTTAGAAATTTAAAAAAATCCGTCTGCACCCTTTTCTAATTTTTCCCTTAACGCCAATTTTTGCTGCACCATCATCGCACATGTCGAAGTTTTTAAACCCAAAGATACGTACACTCATCCTCTTTTTGTTTGTCCCCCAAAAGCATCAAAGACCATGTATGTCGTAGTGACCAGGTTAGTTACTTAAGGCAGGAGCGACCTGCTGTAACCACTGCTGACCTGGGTTGTGAAACAGTTGTGGTTAGCAATGTGGTTAGAAACCCTTTGCATTATTAAACTCCTTTCAAAGATTTTGAAATGTAAGACGTCAGTTTTATCTCTCTGTGGTTGGTATTACTTTGCTGCCACCTTGAATTTTCAGAATAGTTATTATCTTACAGTTTATTTAAAAAAATCGTTGATTGTGTTAACTTTGAAAAGATAAATTACTTGTTCGTGAAAACTGTCGTCCCTGTATATTTTGTGGAAGCGCAGCACCCTTAGGGGTTATACAGCGCTGAGGAATGGTAGGCAAATTAACTTTGATCCTAGGAAAGGAGCGTAGTTTTTAAATCTTTGGATCAAAAGCTTTTCACCATTATCAAGGCATCTCGATCCCTCCCTCAAGGCGTCTCTTGTCCCTTAAGACTCTGACAATCTCGTCAGTTTGTTTTTCCAGGCACTATCACACAGGTCTTCGTACTCAATGTTTTTCAAACCCTCGTAAGCATTTTTTTTTATTTTCCAATTTGTCGATGAACAGAGAAGAGAGGATAAAAGAGGACCATGGACGCAGAGGACCATCACACGGTGACCGTGAAACAGCAACCCCCACAATAGGTTCCTGAGGCCAAGACGCAGCAACCCACACAATTTGATCCCTGGAGAGCATAATAACTGCTAGGCAAAAGCACACGTAAACACCGCCTACCACCAAACCCCTTATGAGTTACCAAATTTGCTAGTTCCCTTGTACGATACACTCCTTAACTGATACTTGCTTCCAGCACTACACCAAGATCATTTTTTTTTTTTAATTTATAAAAAACTGGACCACCCTCTGGTTTTTGCTACACTATTCCAGGGGAAGTCACACGGTAGGAACACCCAAAGTGTGCGGTGTTCTTCTTTGTAACAGATGCTTTGGGGACTAACAGCGCCAAAATTTCCATACTAGCTCAGCGGTGGCTGTCTGGTTGATAGTGAAAAGGGCAGGAGACTAGTTTTGAAGCAGCATTATTCTGGCTTATAGGGAAGGGGAGGGGGGGGCAGGAGACTAGTTTTGAGTCTCCCCTGTCTCTTAGCTCCGTCCCTTCATTATGGCAACACCCACAATGTGTTGCTGCTCAATTCATTATGACAATTCCATTGTGGAAAAACTCGCAGTATGCAGGTATCCAACTCTACATGATGTTACATTGTGGGGAAGAAATTCTTGGTGTATTTTCTGTCATATTCCATCACACAAGATGGGCGTTATGCATAAAGTAAGGAAAAGTGTCAACATAATTTAGGATTTCTTCAGTAGAGCGACGAGGATATCGCCATGCATTGTACTAGGAATTCAGCAGCATGGCAGCTTCAGAGATTCTTCCAGCAGAGCTGAAGTTACTGTTACCTGAGAATTACCATCTCCTCAGCATGACCAATTCCACAAATCTCCACTAACGAGCTTGGGGAAGAGGGATTGGAGTCTTTCAACAGTATGAAGCCAGAAATAAAGGAATAATGATACTTATGTTATAATTGTTATTATATTCATAGGAGAGAGCTGAAAATCGAGGGAGTCATACAGAGTCTAAAGAACGGGGAGATAATCCAGTTCATTGTTTTAAGAGGGCTTTTAATATTAACAAGGTAACAGAACTCGGGTCTGGCACCTGAGGTTGTTTGACCGAATTTGCATGCAGGTAAGAGATAAATATATAGAAATGGAACAGCGTGCTCGAGTTTTCTGTATTGGGCCACGGGGACCAGCTATCCAGTGTGGTAGGTTTTTGGTAACATGTGGTAGATTTTGACTATTAGTTATGAACAACATTAGATTTTTAAGCAGTAATAAAAGTTTAACAGAAAAACGTTCAATATACAAGGGTTTAATTTGTGCTAGTTATTAAATTAAAAAAAAAGAAAAGTCAAAGGCGGGTCGCATTCTAGTCAATGAGTCGCAATAATTTCACATCCAAGAGATAAATTTAACGAGGAACCAGGAGACCTTGGGAAACACCCTGAAGGTCCTGATATGTGGACCCCGACTGGTTCCCGGATCCCTCGCCTCGGAGGGAGGTAACGCATGGCGATGATGCGTCTGGGGATGCATGAACAACTGGTACTATAAATCTTAAGAGCTCTTGAACCTGGAGGATAGGAGTGTTAATGTAATCAAAGCTACAGCTGCTATTAACAACGACATCGGTAAACACTTTCTATTCTTTTTTTTTTTTTTTTTGAGAATACAGAAAATGTTACAAAATGAAATAAATAAAATAATAAAGAATGAAAAGGCAATACCGTGACTGGAATAATACACAAATAACCCGCACATAGGTGAATGGCACTTATGAATAAGTGATACTAATATCAAAGTTAACCAGGGAAATCGCGACCATGAGTTCAAGTTGAAAAAAATTCGGATTTATAAAGAAAAAATGATTTGCACTAGAAAAAATAAGAGTAGTAATAGCAGCTGTTGAAGAAGCATTGGTATTAGTAGTAGTAGCAGTAACAATATAAATAGAAGTATAAATAGATGAAGGCAGTAACAACAGTAGGAGTAGTTGCAACAACAGTAGTAAAATCAATGATAAGACACGAATAATAATCTACCTCAAAACACGGCCTCCCACAGGGGCCAACAAGTACTGTTTAGACAAGAAAATACGGAGGCTTCCCCTTTTCATCTGGGACCGGCTCTTCGGTACATTCGCCGCTGAGAAAGACGATGAAGAGATTGTTTACGGTCTTGTTGACCAGCCACAAGCCTCGAGCATCTTGATCTCCAGGTAAGGGTTTTCCACTTTCTCGGGCACACGCAAAATTAGAACCTCGATTCTGTAGGGGAGTATGAGAGCATAGATTTCCTACGAAGAATTAGGGCCTCGATTCTCACGGGGGAATTATGGCTCGATTTTGATGAAGAAACCTGGGCCCTGATTCCCATGAAGGATTGGGGCTTGAATTCGACGGAGGATTAAGGCTTTGATTCCTTATAGAGAATTCAAGAGATGATTTCCACGGAGGGTAAGAACATGGATTACTGTGTATTATAAGATGTTCGGTATTATAGTGGCAGTTCATTGTGATCAGATTCATTTGTGTAGTTTATCATCGTCGTGTTGTTGTTATTGAAGTGTAAGATGGTAATTTACGTAAACATAAAACTCCAACAACGGAAAAACTGTTATTTTGTGTCTTAGTTCGGGGGGAAATATTATTATTATTATTATTATTATTATTATTATTATTATTTTTATTTTATTATTATCAAAGGAAGCACTAAACCGACAAGGGTCATACAGCGTTGCAGGATAGAAATAGTGGTGGGGCTATAAACAGCTTAGTTGGAGAGGGAATCAGAGATGAGGGGAGAAAAGGGGTGGAAGGGACGCTAAGGGCTGTGTCAAAGTTCGTATAGCAAAGCAGTTGCTGACAAAAAGTAAAAAAAGTGATCATAAGTCTAAGGCAGGGCCGTCTGCAAGAAGAGAAGATAAGGTAAGAGTGGTAGGGAGGCGGAAGCGTTGGAGGTAAATCCCGCGAGCTCGCTGGTAAAACTGGGTAATCTACAAGAAAGTGAAGAAATCTCACAGAGAGAAATAGGGTGTCGTTCCATGAGATGCCCATGGGTAAGGCGAGTATGGCCGATGCAGAGATGGGAGAGCACAGTCTCCGAGCATGGCAATGGTGGTAAGAGATGGCCACAAACCTAAAAGCGGTTAAATAGAGTGCAATTTGTTATGGTGCATGTCTGACAGAAGATGGGCATACAACTCAGCAGTAAAAATACTAGCTGAGTCTAACAAATGAACTCAGATAACATCGTCAGGGAACACCGCCACCATCCCAACACTGTCAGAAGATTTAGAATCATCTGTATAAACAGTAACGGCATGAGAATGCGACCATAAATGATCAAGAAAAAGAGAGTGAGCAGTTATAGGTAGGATAGCTTTGGCACATGGCAGTAGGAGAGAGCAGACACGAACCTTCAGAAGGAAGGTAACTGGAGAGAGGACCAGAGTGAGTGAAGACGAAGAGAAAAACGGTCAGAGTAAGCAGGGGAGTCCAACAAATAATGGGCTTTTACTAACGTCTGAGACCAACCTATATGTAGACAGAACACGAAGGTCATGAGCACGAACAAAGTAAACGAAGGCATTGAGCATTACAGCGATTAGCTAATGAAGGAGCATTCACTTCAGCATAGAGGCTTTCAACAGGGGATGAATGAAAGGCAGCAAGGCATAACTGTAGACCCTAATCATAAAGGAAATCTAACTTAGAAGAGTGGAAGAAGAAGCTGCAGAATAGATATGGTCTCTGTTGCAACCCCTGAATGGGTCACAATGTGCATAATGTATATTACCTGTTCATATATTGCTTATATTTGCGATATTAGCTAAATTGTAAATATATTGCTTTATATTATTATTTGACTTAGTTATATTATTAGGTAAGATGTAACATTTATATATTATTCAGTGCTCATAGTTCGAGTGTTAAGTAGCTGATGGCTTTGTCTAACAATTGCTTTGCTCGTTATGCTGCCAGTTTCTGTGTTGCTGGGCAGCAGCAATCCACGAAGAGTCATGTGATCAGGGGGGTGATGACACTTCACCTAGAGTAGTCTGCCTGGCCTGCGCGAGATTGTCTGTTGGACGTTGCTTCTAACAAGAGGTCCCACACCAGCTCTACCTTGTGGGCCCTTGTTGGAAGATCCTCTCTGTCGCTTTCTTGTTGTTGGTTCTGTGTAACTCTGTTCACAGAACATAGCCTAGACTTAGTGATTTTCGACGTTGTACTGAGGTTGTGTGTCTCACAGACACTCGGAGAAACTCAGGTCCTGAGCTGTAGCTTCTGACCTAATTTGTACTGGTAACTGTGTACTGTCACAGTCGGGGATTTTCTAATGCTGAACTTAGATTCAGCAGTATGGGAGTTTTCTGACTTTTGTTGAGGATCTGCAGATGGTCCCTACTTAGTGTCGTTATATTATCTCCTTGTTCCTGATTCTGTGTTGATGTTGCTTGTTATATTGTTGTTCGGCTTATCAGTCGTTTTATTGTTCAAGCAAGCTGTTCTGATTGCCAGGTTGGTCAAGAAGTTAGTTAATGTGAGGACTTTTAGTCAGTCACTGGTTAAGTCTAGTCGAGTCTTGAGACATAGCGAACTACATAGAGCACTTACACACTTACACACAAACTTACTTGTATATATTTGTATTATGTTATTAAATACTAACCATGTACCAGACGGTACTTAAAAGCCATGAAGATGTGATATGTGCCTTCAGTACCATACTACTGTACACGAGAGAAGTGTAGGAACTTGTGTCCTATTTTATATTCAATTGATTAATTTAATTTACTTTGATAATATATGCCTAGACAACTTTGCTATTAATAAACTTATTAAATTTTAATTTCTTTGGTTAGTAGCGTACCAGTTGTAATCCTGAAGCACTATTGAATCCTACAAAATTCTAATGGATAATTGGACCAGGATACCGACTACTTGTTACAAAAACCCAGTAACAGGCTGGATGCTAGAAGGGCAGTCTTTTCTAGTATTCACTGGAGATCTCTATGCTTATTAGATATCGCGTTTTTTTGTAACAGTCTCCATAACCCAGCTTGGACAAGACTAGGGTGATATGCAAACGGAGAGTCCGGCGATCTGCTCCCCATGAACAATGCACAAGAATTTTAAGGAGGTTCAGCCGAACATGGCAAGCTCCCTTCAAAGAAGAAATGTGAGGTTTCCATGTCAACCGGCGATCAAAGAGAAGGTCAAGAAACTTGACTGTATCACATTCTGGAATACATGAGCCGTGTAAATACAATGGAATATCTGGAAGAAGAAGACGTCTAGTGAAGGTAATGAAATGGGTTTCGTACTAGAAAATTTAAATCCATGAGAAGTGGCTCAGTTGGAAACCAGGTCAATCGCATCCTGAAAGAAGGCCGCTGCCAGATGACAGCCAGCACCTACGTAAGCTATAGCGAAGTCATCCACATAAGGTGACGACCACAAGTTGGCAGATTACCACGGAGGCCTAAAGAGTGTGCTTGGGCTAAAATGTTATACCTCCAGGTGGTGTCATTTGCCTTCTCAAGATCAAAAAAGACAGCTAGGGCAGAGTATTTGTTAGCAAAGGCATTTCACACATACATGTCTAAGTGGAGCAAGGGGTCCAAAGTAGAGCGGCCCTTGCGAAAGCCATATTGGTGAGGAGAAAGGCTATTGTGAGTCTCCAAATACCATATCATATGCTTAAATGGTAGTTGTAATGTGAGGCCTGGTGGTGGTTGTGAAATTATGTGAAGAGGTCTTCTACCACGAAGTTTGGTCTGAGGTAACAGCTTGTTGATAGCCTTGTTACCCAGGCTGTTACTGGTTGGGGCGGCAATGCTTGCCTGCAGTACTTGGCGGCTGGTGCAGTGTGAGGCTGATGTAGCACTCATAGAATCGCTATTTATATAGTTTTCGTCTTCCTTCAAGTAAAGACAAACATAAAGATCCCCATATTTATGGTAGCATAAGATTGTTAGTGCGATTTAAGAACACCTGAATCTGAGAAAAAGAACAATGGCGTTGCCAAAACATTTTTCATCTCCAATTCTTAAGTTGTGTGAAATGTTCGAGTCATGGAATTGTGTCTTATATTTTTCTCGCATTTTCTATTAATCTCACTCACATATTTATTTATCTCTGCAGTTCTTCTACATCCGAGATATAATAAAGAAAGCCAGGAGCCAGGAGACCTGGGGAAACACCCTGAGGGCCCTGATGTACGGACCCGGCTGGTCCCCCGGGTCCCCTCGTCTCGGGAACGTGGACTCCTTCAAGGACGTCAAAGCCCCCAGGGCTAAGTACGATCCCTACCTGCCTCTCTGGAACAAACTTTACATCGCCACGCACTTCCTTGTAACTCTCTTCCTACAACAAGTGTTGACGTTCAATCTTAAGGTAAGACGATGTTAGAGTCTTGAGAACCTTTACCTGTTGCCTTGTCTTGTTTGGATCTGTCTGTGTTCTATTTGATATATTCTCCCCCCTTCTCTGTCTTTCTCTTATGTACCAACGCAAAATAAAGCGTAACATGTACCATTTTCTAAAAAAACTAATTATCATTAGAATATGTTTGCATTTTTGCATAAACTTCCCCAGCAAAATGTAATCACATGCCTAGATTTGACTCACTGCATTTAGGACCGTTATTGTATTTATGTAATTGCGTTAGAGGATTAAATTCCTAAAATAAAGTACTTAGGTCTCATATTATTCAAGAGGTAAGCCAATGTCTTTCACGTTAGCTTGTTAGGGGAAGCCTAGCTAAGGCAGTAGTGTTTCAGGCGATTAACAGGAGGCTCAGACCTTCATTATATCTTGCTATGAATAATCTGCGAGGATTTAATAATAATAATAATAATAATAATAATAGCTGTAATAATTAAATCGTCTCTCTTACACGTTGGTCACTAAGTCCTCTTAGAAATGCACACCACTGTGTATGTACTCCTAGAGATACATAGCACTAGGTGAATATATTGCAAGAGATACTACTGTGTATAATATACTCTGTCTTTCAAGGATTAAACCAATGAATAAATTCTAGGTACTAGCCAGGATAAGCAATGCCTCTGACCCTCTCGTTTGTTTCAGTCCTACACGCTGGGGACGTCCCTCATGATATTCGGATTTTTTCTGGTCACATTATGTAACATTTCGTCCATGTACGACTACTGGATGTGGGCTGGTTTCGTGGAGGTGGCCCGCTGTGTCTGTTTTATAGTGTACGCCCGCACCACACCCGTCACCGGTCACCCTGCTGTTGACACCTTCCTCCAGATCTGCTTCTTCGTCTCCATGATGCTTTGGACTTTCAGAACCATGTTGTTCACCCACGATACCAGCAAGATCAAGTTTTTGTGAAGGAGTATGATCCTTAACCTCAAATTCTTAAAGTTTTTTGGCGTGAGATGGCCCTTGAACGTCGGGTTTTAAAGGTCCCTCAAGTTCTTATGAGTGAGATAGTTCTCGAGGCAAAGTTTAAAAAGTTTTTCAAGTTCTTGTGATTGATGCTGTATTCAGCATCAAATTTGAAGGTCTTTGAAGCTTCTGTGAGCGGTTTTTTTTCCCAGATGTCAAATTTTCAAGGTCCTTTAAGCTCTTATGAATGAGGTGGTCCCCGTGTCAAATTTTCGGAATTCTTCATTCTCCTCGTAAATTTGGGTTT